GGGATCTTACTCTTGTTCAGGCTGGTCTTGGGCTCTTAGGCTCAAGCATTCCTCCTGTCTCAGCTTCCCAAAGTGCTCGGATTACAGGTGTGAGCTACCATGCTCAGCCCTTTGTTTTTTACTTGCCATCTCATTATTTTCATATGCAGGGTGGACATAAAGTTTGTGTGCAATTTGAAATAGTTTAACATAGTAAATTGCACACAGACTTTATGGACACCTTGTATATAAGTGAATAGCTATATATTTGTATTCCTCTCTTTTTCTATATAAAAGGTAGCATATTATACCTACTTCTCTGCATTTATTGTTGCTTTTAACAGTATATCCTGAGATTACCCCATAGCAGTACAGCTAAACTGCATTCTTTTTTACAGCTCTAAAAGATTCATTATATGGGTAGTCTATGAATTGAGTACAGTTCTCTATAGAAGGATATTCAGAGTTTTACAGAGTTTTAGCCTCTGCTATTCAGTGAATAGCCTTCTGCGTCCTTCCTTTTACATTTTTGCCTGTGGGTCTTTGACAGATTCTTCCAAGTAGGTTGCTGGGTGAAAGGATAAATGCAGGCACGATGGCACATGCCTGTAATCCCAGCAGTTTGTTGGGCCAAGGCAGAAGATCACTTGAGGCCAGGAGTTCAAGATCAACTTAGGCAACATAGCAAGATCTCACTAAAAAGTAAATTAGCTGAGTGTGATGGTCCCAGCTACTAGGAAGGCTGAGGCAGACCACTTGAGCCCAGGAGTTTGAAGTTGCAGTGAACTATGATGATGCCACTGCACTCTAGCTTGGGCAACAGAGCAAGACATTATTTCTTTAAAAAGAAAAAAAAGGATAAATGCATATTCTTGGTCTACCATCTTGATCTAGTATTTTAGCTGTGGAACATCTCTGATGAATGTATATTGTCACTTTAGTACAATCTGGCCAGTGGGTTACTACAACTAAAGTCTCTGTTTTAGTTCTTCTTGCCTATAGAGGATAAAGCACTGTGAAAACTAACCTGTCATTTACCTGGCAATGTTACTTGATTTCTCTTGGAAGTCCTCTGTGGGCAGTATAATCATAAAACTTTTCTTTTTTTGAAATTTCAGCAAATCTCTCTATGAATACTCTAAGAACTTCATTGTGTCAGTTGTTCTAGGAAAGGATGTGATTCCCAGGTATGTTTGCAGGGATTTGTCTCTGGGTTGGGGTAGCTGGAAATATTGAATACTAAGCCTCAATGGGACTTTTTCCTAAACAGGTTAAGTGTGACCAACTTGGAAGATTTGAAGAAAAGAATCTTGAGAGTGATTGCTAACTGTAATAAGCCTAAGGTAATTTGGGGTGTCCTTTTAAGAGGATTTGCAAGAAGCTTGGGCCTGTCCTTGAGATGGTATGTGGAGTTGAGAATTTCAAAATTCAGAGCCTCTTAGCCTAGGGTATTTATGCTGTCAATTGAAGTTCTTCTACTTTCTGAACAGACTTTTGTCTAGAACATTGTATGTGGTGCATAAGAAAGCAAATGGGTAGGGCGCCAGCCACATACACTGAGGACCCTGAAGCAGGCAGGTTCAGACCCAGCCTGGGCCTGCTAAACAGCAATAACAACTGCAACAAAAAAATAGCCAGGCATTGTGGTAGGCACCTATATGTAGTCCCAGGTACTTGGGAGGCTAAAGCAAGAGAATCGCTTAAGCCCAAGAGTTAGAGGTTGCTGTGAGCTATGACAGCACTCTACCCAGGGCAGCAGCTTGAGACTCTGTCTCACAAAAAAAAAAAAAAAAAACCGAGCCAGGCACCACAGCAAATGCCTGAAAACCCAATGGCTTCCAGAGGCTGAAGCAGCAAGATGCCCACAGCCCAAGTCTGAGGTTGCAGTAAGCTATGACACCATTGCACTCTGCTCAGGGCAGTTTCTGTCTCAACAAAAAAAAAGAAAGAAATAAAGAAAATACTATAATAAAACCATTCCTTTTCTAATAAGTAATTTGCTTTCTGTTGAAACTTCTTAGTCCTGACAGTATTCTGATGATTTTTGGTTAGAAAATAAGGCTGCCAAATACAGATTTAAGAGGTACTGGTGTATCTACTGTGTTTATTATGCAATTATCAAAAATAGTGATAGAAGTTTATATTTACCAATAGAGATAAGAGAGGGCAAAAACAAATTTATTTACCAATAGAAACAGGTTATCTATGACACACTGAAAAGTTTTTTTAGAGCAAGCTTAAAGGGGTGGGTACAGTGGCTCATGCCTGTAATCCTAGCACTCTGTGAGGCCAAGGTGGGTGGATTGCCTGAGCTCAGGAGTTCAAGACCAGACTGAGCAACAGGGAGACCCCATCTCTAAAAATAGCCGGGCATTGTGGCAGACGCCTGTAGTCCCAGCTCCTCTGGAGACTGAGGCAAGAGAATTGCTTGAGCCCAAGAGTCTGAGATTGCTGTGAGCTGTGATGCCATAGCACTTTACCAAGAGTGACATAGGGAGACTCTATCTCAAAAATAAAGAATAATTCTTAGGCCAGGCAAGATAGCTCACACCTATAATCATAACAAGTCTGGCAGGCCGAGGTGGGTAGATTGCCTGAGCTCATGGGTTTGAGACCAGCCTGAACCAGAGTAAGACCCTGTCTCTAAAAATTAGCTGGACATTGTGGCGAGCACCTGTATTTCCAGATACTTGGGAGGCTGAGGTGAGAGAATTACTTGAGCCCAAGAGTTTGAGGGTGCTGTGAGCTATGATGCCATTGCACTCTACTGAGGGTGACAAAGTGAAACTCTATCTCAAAAAAATAATAATAGGCTTGGCGCCTGTGGCTCAAGCAGCTAAGGCACCAGCCACATACCCCTGAGCTGGCAGGTTTGAATCCAGTCTGGGCCCGCCAAACAATGACAACTGCAACCAAAAAAAAAAAAAAAAGATGGATGTTATGGCAGGCTCCTGAAGTCGTAGCTACTTGGGAGGCGGAGGCAGGAGAATTGTTAGAGCCCAGGAGTTAAGAGGTTGCTATGATGCCACAGCACTCTATCCAGGGTGAAAGCTTGCGACTCTGTTTCAAAAAAAATAATAATAATTACTATTATTAAGAAATATGCTCCAGGCTTGGGGCCTGTAGCTCATTGGTTAGAGCACCAGCCACGTGCACTGGGGCTGGTGGGTTGAAGCACAGCCAGGGCCTGCTAAATAACAATGACGACAACAACAGTGACAACAATAACAAAAAAATAGCCAGGTATGGCTCGGTGCCTGTGGCTCAAGCGGCTAGGGCGCCAGCCACATACACCTAAGGTGGCGGGTTCGAATCCCCAGCCCGGGCCCGCCAAAACACCAATGATGGCTGCAACCCAAAAATGGCCAGGCGTTGTGGCGGGCGCCTGTAGTCCCAGCTACTTGGGAGGCTGAGGCAGGAGACTCGCTTGAGCCCAGGAGTTGGAGGTTGCTGTGAGCGTGATGCCATGGCACTCTACCCAGGGAGATAGCTTGAGGCTCCGTCTCAAAAAAAAAAAAAAATAGCCAGGTATTGTTGCGGGCGCCTGTAGTTCCAGCTACTTAGGAGGCAGAGGTGAGAGAATCACTTAAGCCAAAGATTTTGAGGTTGCTATGAGCTGTGACAACATGGCACTCTACTGAGGGTGACAAGTGAAACTCTGTCTCAAAATAAATAATAAATATGCTCCAAGGCAGAAGGAGGGGACAAGGAGATACAGATATGAATTTTGACAAAAACTTGAAAGAAACAATCCCAAAGTCTGGTTTTACTTGGGATTATGGGGTTAAAAATGATTTTCACTTCGTAACTTTTCTCTTTTTTTACTTTTCTTTTGGTTGGTAATCAGAATAAATTGAATTCAAAATTTTTCCTTATCAGTTACCTCCCAAATTTTTTTAGAAGTATTATCTAATGTTTTTGTAAGCAGGCAGGGTACTAATTTGCAGAATTGCCTGAAAAGAGACTCAGGCCTATAGTCCCAGCTACTCAGGAGACTGAGGCCAGTAGGATTACTAGAGCCTAAGAGTTCAAGTCTAGCCTGGGCAACATATGTCAACATAAGTTAATCCTCTATATCTCAAACAGAAAAAAAAAAGAAAGAAAGAACGAAAGGAAAAGTAAATCCAGGGTAATTTTTCCTCAAAGTCTACATTTTAAAAAATGGTTGCCCCAAGTATGAGGGGTTTACTACCCAAGAGACACATCATGCTCATGACCCATGACCATGTGGGAGTTCATCATGAATCCTTAGGGTTGCTGCCACCGTACACAGCTCCTGGCCTGAAGAGGTTTCTGTGATGACTGTGAATGCCTTGAGGTGACAACATTCTGCCTTCTTGGGTCTCGCCCTTAGTACAAGATCTTGCTGCAAGGGTGCCGGTATGAACTGTTTGGAGTGCCTGACAACTCTCCAACTGAGCTGGATGGGGACAACCAGGGAGACCTGACGCAGCCCCTTCTTGGGGAACAGAGTCTATTGACACACTGGTCCCCAGCCTACAGCTTCTCCAGTGATTCTCCTCTGGACTCTCCACCCAAATATCCCCCTCTGTTTCCTCCTGGAAGAATCATCCACCTAGAGGAAGAGGACACCTCAGGGAGGTGAGTGGGGACAGGTCTTCAGGTCTGCTGAGGTACAGTCTACTCATCACCAGTGAAAGAAAGCACGTGTGTTGGAGGTCAAAGTCAAGTGTAGCTTTGCTAGTTGATGTTTCCTTTTCCATTTAAGGTTTGGCTGGTGTTCTACTGCTCAGTATAGTGCAAAGTGGTCACATGAAGCGGAATTCAGCAAAATACTCATAGGCCCAAAGATGCTAACAGACCATGTGCCAGATGTTCTTATGAGAGCCTTGGACAGTGTGGTCTCCGACACAGCAGCCTGTATCTCCTGTCCAGCACAAGAGGTCCCTAATGTGGATGTAGCATAACCAGGGCTACTACAAACTGTCCCAGGAACTGTCCTACTTTTGTTCTTAAACTGACTTACTGTCCTGTCTGAGTGACTCCTGTGATGCCAACACAACAAGGTATCTGTCAGCAGGAATTGGAAGGGTACTAAGTTTGATGTTCTTCTAAATGATCAAACAACTTAAAGCAAATAATTTTGGTCATAGTAATAGGAGAATTCATTGGGTGATGGAACTCCTGACGCTGACATTGAACATGGCAAGAACCTCAGGAAGCCCTGTTTGTTATCCTGGCCCACAGATCATTTGGCCATCTGAGAATTGTCCTCAAAGGGCAGGAACCCAACATCCAGACTGAAGAACCTAAAGAGATCTGTAGACTCCTACCCCACAGACAACCCTTTCAACTAACTTTGGCTTAAAGGTGTGCAGTTTATTCAGAGTCTTCCTGACTATACAAGCAGAACTGCCATGAAGGTGCAGCCTAGTTTTCTCCTGGGTTACTCAAGTGCAGCCCTGAGCTCTGAGAATGCAGACAAAATCTTGTTGAGGAAGTGAGTGGAGACCACGGCTCCTGCCCTTCCCTGAGCCGTAGCACTTCAGCATCTCGTTTACATTATCTGGGTATTTTGGCAACATCAAGTTGATTAATTCTGATGTATGCTTCTGACTCTGAGGTCACCACCCATTGGATTTAAAGAGAGTTAAAAAAAATAAAGCACATGTCATTACATTTTCTATGTAGTAAATAATGTGCTCTTCTACTGGAGGTTTCCAGGTAGGTCTATTTGCTGGGTGGTTTTACAGCAATCATGTTTTACGTTTAAGAGGAAAGACTCTAAGAAAGATGCAGAAGAGGAGACAAGAATACCCAGGTGGCTAGAGTCAAACAGAATGCTAAGGGGGAAGGTAAGGTAGAGTAACCTGGCCAATGAGACAAGATTCCCCCCACACCTGTGACGTGGGAATGAAGCAGACAAGGACCAGCCACAGGGCAGGTTTGCTTGAAAGGTGGAAAAAAACCTGGCCCAACCTGTGCTCTGAGGTGAAGGGTAGGGTAGGACTGGACACCAACAACAACACGGCTGAGGCAAGGAGATGACATTCCTCAGCTCTTTGTACTCGGCTGCCAGGAGCTTCAGAGAGAGAATCTTCCTGGGAAGCTGACCTCAGGAGATAACTGTGTCTCAGGGACCCTCAGCTATGGCAGCCATGCCACTGTAGAACTTCGGAAAAGCTGCAAAGGGCAGTTTTTAAAACTTCAGTTGAAATGCCATGGCAACATCAAGCTGCTACAAGTTTCATTTCTAAACACAATGCCTACACTTACCTAGTAGCAGAAAGGTAGGAGGTCTGACTGCACACTAACCCTCCTGGTGTGCTGTTTCCAATCTCAGCCTTTAAGCATGAGCCAAGGATGCCCACAATTGAGGAACAAGAGGCCACAAGAAACAGATGATGTAGGCAGAAGCTCCAGGCAACCTCAGCAATGGCTTAGGACACAGAAAAAATGCTATAATCACAAAACTGACACAGGAGGCTCAAAATGGGTATTTAGAGAGTGAAAAAGAACACCTGAAACTTAATGGGAGCTGAAATCAAAACTCAAGATAAATCAGGAAAAGGAAAAGTTAAGAGACCATTCCAGGAATTCCATATTTCAATGAAAGTTGTAGAAAAAGAGAAAATTAAAAGATGAGCTTCCATGTTCAGTGCCCATAGCAGTGGTTACAGCACCAGCCACATACACCGAAGTTGCAGGTTTGAACCCAACCTGGGCCAGCTAAAACAATAATGACAACTGCAACAAAAAAATAGCCAGGCGTTGTGGTGGGCGCCTGTAGTCCCAGCTACTTGAGAGGCTAAGGCAAGAGAATTGCTTAAGCCCAAGAGTTTGAGATTGCTGTGAGCTGTGACGCCACAGCACTCTACTGAGGGTAACATAGTGGGACTCTGTCTCAAAAAAAAAAAAAGAT